AAGACTTGGAAAGATGTGTTTCCACCATTTATGCTGAGCTGATTTCTACATGACGATATGAGTTAAACAATTTAAAAGGCTGATGATTTATTCAGATAGTTGCAGAAGGTCTGCATAATTAATAAGGCCATGCTCTAGTATCTTGCATCCTTATTCACTTTGAAAGTACAGGGGCTTTCCTTCAGTGACTTGTGGATCCAGTAAGTTCAAAGGCCAGCAGTCACATTTCCAAGATTATTGGTAACTAAATTCTGTGGATTCCAAATTTCAATAGTTCCTCCTAACCACTCCCATTTACACTCTCTTGCTGTTTATTCTACTATAAACTATATGGCCACCTTTTGCAATTTCAGAAGGAAATGGTCATTTCAATACTGCACATTGTAAGCAATGCTCCTGTGCAAACTACTTTGTATGTATTAAAAAGTATTAACACTTTATAAAAAAACAGGATGATGTAAGCATATCACATTTCATTTAGTGAAGCTAAGGAATGCTGCATTATGGCTGAGTTAATGGTTTATACACTTAAAGCATGTGTCCCCTGGAATGGAAGTTTCTCAGATACATCACATTAAAACATATAAATCTGCATGATGATGGCAGGACCCCTAATGTGAGGAAGATAGGAAAATCATTATAATCTGCATTTCCAAATTGAATGAGCATTTTGCTCAGTAGAAACCTCTTGACTGCAAATAGTCTGGAATTACAACCTGCTGTTTGAGATACCTGTGTATGTCTTCTTGTTTATATGTATGCATGCACACATTTGTGTACATATTTACTTTTTAAGAGAGCAAATTTTATCCCATTTCTTTGAACAAAATGACATTGAAAATCATAAATCAGTAGAACAACCGTCACTTGGAACCTACGCAGTTGAAGGCAAGTTGTTTCAGAGCACTACCTATTTTATGCTGACCCAAGTGATGAGTCAGCCTCCTACAGATAAAGCACTCAAGGCTGCTCTTAACAGCCTCCTAATGAAATCTACAGCTGTCCTAAGGGAGTGGGGGAATTACAACAACTTTTCAAAGAAAAACAAAACAACAACAAAAAGGAAAACAAAACAATGAGAAAAAAGGAAACTCTGCAACAAAAACTCAACTTTTGCATAAATACCAGAACAATTAGCTTCTTATGAGGACACAAACCAAATATATGTGGACAGCAGCCTGCACATAATGTTTTCACACAAGGTAAAGCACAGAAAAGAATGGTCACACTGGCTATATTTATAACTTGCATTCACATTATGTTGCATTCCTTTTTGTGCTGCAAAGGTAAGTTTTGCATTTATTTCTACAAGGCTATGGAGAAAACCAATGGCAAATACACACACGCTTTGCTAGAGAAAAAGTGACCTTCATACAAACATTTTACAATATTGGTCAGGGTATTCAACCCAGTTCAGTTCAATAAACATGTAAGTCTTAACTATGAAGACAAATTGTTTTCGATATAGAGACAGAAGCTATCAAATGAATGTGTATTTCATGTACACTGATTAGTGAGACTGAAACTTGTGTACATTTGCTGGTAGAAATGTTTGCGTTCTAGGAATGTTTGTGCTCAGCCAGGGTGCATCCATATTATATATACATATATAGTTTTGGTGCAATTTTACACAAGCATTAAAATGCAGGGATGTCCACAAAATGTACACTCCCAATATGTGCTGCAGTAAGCACCCAGTCAGAAACAGCCTATTTTAGAAACTCATTGGAAATTCCAAAATAAGCCATAAAATCCACTGCAGCCAATCAGTGTATATCTCATGCAGAGCTAGACTTGAGACAGAAAACTGCAGAGCACGTCAGGATTGGGCTAGTGCTGATGCATTTGAAAAACCCAGAAATGCAGCTTGTTGGGAGGTAAACAAAAACACCCCCACCCCCCGGAGAGGATGCCACAACGTTCCCATTAGAATGTCAACTTTCTATTTTTTTTGCTGTGCCCTGCCTTGCTCTGGTACTGATTGTGATTCTGCTGCCCATCAGTGCATACTGCCAGATGATAAAAAACAAAAACAACATTTATTCCTGGATTCGGATCAATCTACAATCAGTGGATCTTGGTGGCCGCCATCTCAGCCACCAACTGGTTCCTGGGATGCCTGTGTAAGCATTCCGCAGTGAACCAGTTCTCTGTAATCCACATCCTGACTCAGTTTCAATGGCTGTGCAGAACCGCCCCAAATCTAATGTTATATCTTTCTGTGTCTTTTCTAGGATAGAAAGCATAAACACTCATGATACGTGAGATTTTAAAATATTTTTTGTAGTAGATTTGGGATGTTACTTCACCTCTTGGATAACAACTTTTATCTGGGCATGAATTCCCTTATAATTTATTAAAGGAGTTGCAATATTTCCCTATGCCTGCTATGGTCTCCATTGATATATTCTTATTTATTTTAGTGAAGAATGATGCTGCATGCTCCACTGCAATTCTGTTACATTTTTATGCAATTATTTTGCTTGAATTCTGATCAGCTAATTAATGCCATTGGGATCTATGTCTCTTTCTTCTGATAAACGATGACATGTTTCAACTTCTTATGGTCTATAACTGCACAAAGCTAAAAATTTACTAAAAGAAAGACAGCATTACTACAAGGATATAATTTTGTTGAAGGATTTATGTACCACAAATGCCAAAATTATGATGTAGTAACATTACTAGGTTTTAGTTCAGCCTTTATTAATCACCAGACTCCCTAGCTTTACAATAGACATAGCAGAACACATTTTTAGAACAAATTATTCTCAATTTGTTTTACTTCACACCTGATTTTCAAAGAGCCCATTCAGGGGAATCCCCAGTCCCAATTAGTAGACTGGTGTCGAGGGAGCATCACTAATAATATTACTTCAAACACAATCACTTTTATCCTGTAAAGGGAAGGGAAATGCCATTATTTGAAGTTTATCATTAAGCTATTCCAAGACACACCGTGCTGCAATCCTCCATATGTCTACTCAGAAGTAACCCCTAATGATTTCAAAGGGACTAACTTGTAGGTCAGTGTATCTAGCGCTACAGACTAAAGCCATTCTCAGAGATTTTGACAAGCTTTTAATGAACATACATGGAGTGAAAAAGTACTGCTGCAGCAGGTTCCTCTCTGACCTACTTACATTCATTATAATGTGTGAAAAGACCCTTCTCTCTGTACAGGTGGGGTGGGGTGGAAGACTCTTACATGCATCACAATGACAAAGAAAAGGCCACTATGCTGCTTCCCAACTCCAGATCAGGTGATGAACATTTCAGTAGGAACCAGACTTCATTCTTGTATAGTTGCACCTCCTGTGACCCCTTTGCTTTGTTACATCCACTTAAACATAACCATCATCCATCTCTTCATAAGTCAAAGTAGGCAGTTGACACCAAAGTTCTAAAGCCCTATTTAGTAAATTTGATTGAATCAAATGAACCTGAATTGCAAAAAAAAAAAAAAATGGATTTCAGCCTCAGCTTGCTTTATTTTGTTGAAGACAATTGCCATACCTAGCCATCAAGTTCAGCACATACCAAATTATTGGAAAATTGCAAGGAGAGAGAGGGTGTTAGTGCAAAGTGACTAATCCACTCTAACCATGACTAAAAACAAAACCAAATATTCAGGTTGCATTTACACTGTAAATTTAATGCATTTTAATACCACTGTAACTCTCATGGCCCAATGGAATAGAATCATGGAAGTTTTAGATTTATAAGGTATAGCCTTCTCTGCTAAAGATAGTGGATGCCTCAGCATGCTATAAATCCTAGCATTGAGACATGTAAAACTGCATTAATTCTATTGTGCAAATGCACACTAAGAAACCTGAAACAATACCATCTCATATTCATTCTAAATTTAACTTGAGTTAATTCAGATTTTCTGTCTCTATATGGCTTTTTGTTATCAAGAACTCATATATAGTACAAACACATCTGATTTTCTCTAAGTAATCCATACAATTCATTCAGATTGAATCAGGCTGGATCTACACTGCCATATATCCCAGACTCTCATCCCAGATTATCTGCTTTGAACTGAATTATATGAGTCTATAGTACCAAATAACCTAGAATAAGAAGGTAATCTGAGATCAGATCTTGGAATATAGGCCAGTGTAGATCCTGCCTGTGTTGGGGCCCATCTACACAGCACCTAAACCATGGGATTTCCCATATTAAAAGGAGGGGGTGGCTACATGACGCTAGCACTAAATGCACACTGATTCACCGCAACAGACAAAAACACAGGGTAAAAGGGTCCTCTTTTATTCCGATTCTAGCCAGAAAATGTGCATATTCACATCACTATTTATCTCTGAACTCATGAAAACATGTGATTTCCTTCCCTCCCCCTGTGGAGACTACCTCAGCACTTGCCTACTTTTTAAAAGCCCAAAACAACTGATTGGTTGATTGGGTTGTGAAACGAGACACACAGCGAATTTAAAGGAAGCACAAATAGAGAGCTATTAGAACTCTCAGAAATTCATTATTTTAAACTTTATAATATTAAAAAAGGCTTAAATAAACAATTGGGGAAGAGAAAAATTGGGCGGACTTTAAAAAAAATCCTCTGTTATGTGCTGAACATCATATGTGCACATGCAAATCTGTTTGTATTTATATTAAGGTATTTGCATGTGCGCATATACTGTTCAGCTCATATCAGAGCGATTAAAAAACATCTTCTGCTAGACATCTCCCATCCATCTTTCATCTTTTTCCAATACAGAGGAAGCCTATGAGGATGCCAGTGTAAGAAATCCCAGGACTGAAGAAATCCCAGGACTCTGTGGGGGCATGTCCTCCCTTTAAAACCCGCATTTCTGTGCTGTCTAGAAGCATCCTTGGATAGCTGGCTTTCTCCCCTAAAATACATACTACATTAACAATCATTGTATGTGGCAACAAACCTAATCCCCCCTGCTATAAATTATACACATAAACAAATTAATTCCGAGCTGTAGGCTTTCAAAGAATCCACCAACCTTTTTATCCTTACACTCATCCGAAAGATCTGGTGCATCTGCTTTAGACCAAGGACATTCAGAGAAGAATATGTTTTACAGTCTTCAATCCTCAAACGCCTTCAGAGTTTATAACAGAGATTAGTGATATGGTAAAAATACTCCAGATGCAAAAGGAATGAATAGACATTTCTTCTTAAATGTGTTCCCACTTGTCAAGACTGCAACAAAAAAGAGAGAGAAAAGAAAGTTATTGTGAAAAAGCAGTAGCATTTATGTAAGTCTTATGCAATAATATACAGTACAACTCTGTGCATCAGCACTGCACCTCTATCTCTTTTTTGATCTTAATTTGAATTTATCTCTGCAGATTCAGTTTTTTTAACAAGCTTCATATAAAACCACATTTCTTGATGAAACAGCAGAATCCATAGGAACAGAATCACATCCAGGTTCTTGAACCCAGTTAAAACAGAGGCTGGCACTTGTTCCCAATACAACTGGAAGTATCATGATATCAATCTTTTTTCTGTTTGGGATATTGGAGCATAAGCAAGAAGGTTGAGGCCACTCTGTAGCCATATGCAGCCATTTGAGGACAGTAAATTGTCTGCAAAAATAATGAATTTGAGAAGAGGGTTTGGGCTGTTGGAAAAAGTGGTAAATGGGGTCTCAGGGACCATGTGGAGTATAAGAAACACTTTTCCTAATCTACAGAGTAAAAACAATGAATGGGAGCAAATATGTGGATCCACAACTTGTCTTTAACTGGATATTGTGAGCATGCAATTTTTTTGTAAATACCTAAATCTCCCATTTAGAGTCCTGAGTAGTACACATGCAATTTTGATAATAACACACACAAACAGTACTGAAGAAATGTCAACTAGTGCAATCATTGTTCTGGGTTGTGTTGTTGTTGTTGTTATTTTGCATTCAAGATGAAAATCAACAATTGAATAGCCTCCATGCTTTCATTGAAACAGGTGATTGTTGGAGTCAAAAACTAAAATTGTCAGCAATTTATTGGGAAGAACACAGACTCAAGGTCCTAGTTCTCTGCTAGCAAATTTCTGATCAATATGCATATTGATTATATATATACAGACACACATATGGGGGGAATGGGAACATTTTTGTTCAATTAGGGAGGGGACCCTGTGTTGGAAGAAAGTGAGACCCAGAAGCAGCATGAAGGATTAGGATTGTACATGGCTTTCTTGAAGGGCATAGGCTGCCAAAGGGAGGTTAGGATGGATAGCAGCCATTCAGACAATGGGAAATAAGAGGGCTAAGGACTGACAGGATGAGCCTGATAGGAAGTGATGATAGTTATGCCTTCTAATTTTCTGGCAACAAGATAACTTGGCAACCCAAAAGGCCATTATTGTCTTTAAGTTGAGTCAAGGAGTTTACATCATGGACAATTCCTCCAAACCAGCGCTGAAATCTTGGAATTTACCTCATAAAAATGGTATTTGCTAAGTGTTCTACCATTAAGTAAAACACTTTTCTGACTGCAATATTATGTCTACTGAACTTTCTACAACTGCCATGTAAGCAAACTGCTAAGGAGGATCTAATAAGTGCTATTCACAGAGTGATATAAAATATACTGCATGAACCACTTTTCACAGTACTGTAGATTCCACATATCACACAGAAACCTTTTAGTGTTAATATGAAAATGGATGTTAAACCAAGACAACTCAGAACAATCGACACTGAAATCTGTTCCCTGCTTTTCATTCACAGTGAGGTAATTTGTATACAGAGTTCTACTCATATATCAATCTGTAATGGTTTATTCCTGATGTTTTATTCTTGATTGCTGTAAAATACAGCGTGCGGTTTTGGATTACTTTTTCCTGGAGACTAATATTAATAATGTACTGAATAAATTATTTTAGATTGAACATTTCAGAAACACAAGAAAAACAGATATAAGGTCATGAGATACCACTGAGACACATTTCACTTTCCTCATGAAAAAGAAGGAAAAGAAACATTTCTTGTTACTACAAGATTCCATGACCTATAAGAGGAGTATCATGAATCGAAGCAATAATACTGTAATCTATCAAGGTACATCCTGAGTCAAGCAGAGGAGTCTGCCAGGGACTTATCTTTCTGCCCCCCCCCCCAAACCATCCAACACACATGATAAACTTCTGGGGTGATCTAGACTAGAGGCCTTCTTCAATCCCCTATGACTCAAGGCATACTTCAAGGACAATGACACCAATCTACTACACAAAGGGACCACCTGGTTCTCCACAACACAAGACTAAAATAAGGCACCACACCAATATACAACAAAATACCTTTCAGACTCAGAAAATATCGACTCTTCCTGATGGCCCACCATATGCAACAAAAATAAATAAATAAATAAATAAATAAAGGCAAGCATTGTAACCAAGGCCAATCTACTACAGAACAGGTAATAGCATAATCCTGTAAGTGGTTACATGGAGTTGAAACCGCAATTGAAATCGCTCAGATGTATCATCAATGAACAACAACGTACACTGTCCTCTGAAACAGTGGAAGCCTTTTACTTACTTACAGATTTTTTCCTTTAGGTGATCCCTAGTTGGCTTAGTAGGATAGTCTTCCAGGATCAGTATTCTGGTGGGTCCGTAGGTGACTGTGGAGCCCTATTCTTGATCTGCATCTTCTTCCACAGTGAGGGCATTGGTTTCCAGGTAGAAGGCAGTCTCGGTCGGGCTTGGCTTGGCGCGCCTTTCTCTTGGCACGTTTCTCTCTTTCGCCCTCCATTCGTGCCTCTTCAAATTCTGCAGCACTGTTGGTCACAGCTGACCTCCAGCTGGAGCACTCAAGGGCCAGGGCTTCCCAGTTCTCAGTGTCTATGCCAGAGTTTTTAAGGTTGGCTTTGAGCCCATCTTTAAATCTCTTTTCCTGTCCACCAACATTCATTTTCCGTTCTTGAGTTCGGAGTAGAGCAACTGCTTTGGGAGACGGTGGTCGGGCATCCGGACAATGTGGCCGGTCCAGCGGAGTTGATGGTGGAGGACCATCACTTCAGTGCTGGTGGTCTTTGCTTCTTCCAGCATGCTGACGTTTGTCCACCTGTCTTCCCAGGAGATTTGCAGGATTTTCCGGAGGCAGCGCTGATGGAATCGTTCCAGGAGTTGCATGTGACGTCTGTAGACAGTCCACATTTCGCAGGCATATAGCAGGGTTGGGAGGACAATAGCTTTATAAACAAGCACCTTGGTATTCCTACGTATGTCCTGGTCCTCAAACACTCTCTACTTCATTTGAAAAAATGCTGCACTCGCAGAGCTCAGGTGGTGTTGTATTTTGGTGTCGATATTGGCTTTGGTGGAGAGGTGGCTGCCAAGGTAGCGGAAATGGTCAACATTTTCTAATGTTACATCATTAAGCTGTATCTCCGGCATTGGAAAGGGATTGGCTGGTGACTGCTGGAACAGCACTTTGGTTTTCTCGATGTTCAATGACAGGCCGAGCTTCTCGTATGCTTCTGCAAAGGTGTTTAGAGTGCCGTGTAGGGCTTCTTCTGAATGTGCACAGACAACGTTGTCATCAGGATACTGGAGTTCTATAACAGATGTTGTTGTAACCTTGGTTTTGGCTTTCAGTCTGCTGAGGTTAAACAGCTTGCCATCTGTCCGATATATGATTTCCACTCTGGTGGGAAGCTTCCCATAAACAAGATGAAGCATTATAGCGATGAAGATGGAGAATAAAGTTGGGGCAATAACACATCCCTGTTTGACACCTGATTCCACCTTAAATGGGTCACTTTGGGAGCCATCGCTGTCCAAAACTGTTGCCATCATGTCATCATGGAGGAGCCTCATGATGTTCACAAATTTGTTAGGGCACCCAATTTTTTGGAGGATGGTCCAGAGAGCACTGTGATTCACTGTGTCGAATGCCTTTGCAAGGTCGATGAATGCCATGTACAGAGGTTGATTTTGTTCCCTGCATTTTTCTTGGAGGTGTCGTGCAGTGAAGATCATGTCCACGGTTCCTCTGGAGGGGCGGAAGCTGTTCTGGGATTCTGGGAGGGTGTCTTCTGAGAGGGGTAGAAGGTGGTTTGCAAGGATTCTTGTGAGGATTTTCCCAGCTGAGATTAGAAGGGAGATACCTCGATAGTTACCACAGTCTTTTATTTCCCTTTTTTTCTGAAGAGGGTGATAATGGTGGCATCCTTGAAATCTGCTGGGATTTCCCCCAGGATGATGATTTTGTCCTCCTTAGGTATCTCCGATAAGACGGTGTCCAGCTGACAGTAAAATTTCTCCTTGATGTCTTCATCAGCATGGTTGCCTGTTGGTTTTTGGCAAGATAAATTCAAAGGGTTGAGAGTTGTTCGTTGATGCCAGTGGGTGCTTCGGTCAGATGTTTCACCAGATCATTTCTGATAGCAAAGCCAACTCCGTGCATTCTTTGGTCTTCTTCGGGCAGTCCCTTCCAAAAGAAGGTGTAGCCTCCTTTTCTTCCTTCAGCTGTCCCTCTCCTGCTCTTCGGGTCTCCTGAAGTGCTGCTATGTCGATGTTAAAGCATCCCAGCTCCCTTGCAATGATAGCAGTTCTGCATTCAGGGCATTCACTGTCCGTGTTGTCCATCAATGTCCATATGTTCCATGTACCAAAGTTCATTTTTCTTTTCTGGCCACAGGGTGGTGACCCCACTGGGCGCGGCAGTCCAGTCAGGGATAAGAGAGGCAGACTATGTTTAGGGCACCTTTTCTAGCCCCTTCCCCATGTGGGGTGAGCAGAGTGGGTCCTAAAAAGGGCTGCTCAGTTATGGATATAGCTGCTGAACTACTCAACTGCCTCAGACCTTGAGGTAGAATTACTGAGTCCGTATCCACCGCCCATGTGCCAGTCTGTGACTAGGGGCTTCCAGATTTCACAGTCCTGCCCCTGTCGCCACTTGCTGATCGCCATGGGACTTTTGTTGGTTTGTTTTTATTTTCTTTGGAAGATGCCTGTGTGAGTTTTTTAATGTGTGGAGGTCAGTGCACAACTGATCAACACACAGTCTTCACAGAGTGAGGTTCCACTGGTGGTGTAGTTTAACACAATGACCGTGGCTTCTCAATCTGTTGCAGCCTTCTTCCGCCTTCACAGCCATTGTAACATGTACCATGTTATCTTCCGCCTGCTCCGCCGTTGAGGTCTTTGGGTCTTTGGACTGTGCTTGGTCTGGAACCTCCCCCGCAGCC